TAAATAAAGATGTGTGAAGTTTGCTTCTTCAAATTAATTTAAATGATATTGTTGGACAAATAATTGTAGAAAATTGTACTGAACTATATTTTCTCATTGTAATCCTCATATCATTTCTTCTTTCATTATAAGCAATGGGTAATTGGTTACATATATTCTCTGCATGACAATTTTTCTCTAAAGATAGACTTTTTCTACACTTTAATTCTCACCACATTGATTAGACTATTCCATGAAATGTTTACTATAGAAAGAAAGCATTAATACCATTAATTAGCACAAGCACCTGTAGTTTTAACATTGGACAGTTAGACACCGACACAAATCTGACATCCAAATATTTGCCTATTTTCTTTGAAGTCTTCATAAATATTTAGTTAATAGTACATATTACATATGTATTTCTTTCTAATTAAAGACATTGATGTAGCATGTGTTACTGGAATTTATTATCGGGCATTACTGTTAAACTCAGACAGAAAGATTTGTTGATAGTCTTAAATCGAGGAGATAACAGTAAGTTACTACTTTGCTTTTAAGTGAGTTTAACAGATGTCTGGTTTCAGCATATACATTTGTATAACAAACAATGTTTTTTTTGTATGACCACGTATTTATGGAGTGATAAGTTGTCAATCTACCTTACTCAAAAGTCTCTGAGCAATGAAATCCTGACGTTTGGAACAAGGTTATTGTCAGTGGTAATAATGCAATGTGATTGCCTGCTATGATATATATAATATTTCATTGCACACTAGATGAAGAATAGTATCAAATAATTTCAGTGTGGGAGGTAATTTTCATGACAGAAAATGTGGTTTTGAAAATCTAAGGGAAGTGTGGGAGAGACCATAAAAAAATAGATGTCTGTTCATAAGATTTGGTTGGATAAAAATAGAAAAAGTTTGACCATTAATAAGATTGTGAGGGAACTTGACCAGCATTATATGAATATATTTGTTACACTTTTTTTATATGTTGTTGGATTTTAGGATACTTGATGAATGTTGATTTGTACGTCTTTTAGAATTAACAGTATTTGTTATTTAGTGTACTGAGATAGCTAACAATAAATTGTAAACAATTATAGCATGCATATATAGGAGAATATGATAGTTTTACGAAATGTAAGAACAATAATAAAATGTAAATGATAATATGTCAGTGAAAGCAGGCAGTAATTACAGACAATGATAGCATTGGTACTTGTCACAACAAATGGTTCTTATTCACAGGGATTCAAGAAGTTTTTGTTCAAAATCAATGCAACTTCAAGTATGTTCTGTCAACAGAATTGACCTTTTCACATTTACCAAGTTCTGTTGGACCAGAATTTAAATATCAGATACTTATTTTTTTTATGTTAACCTCTCATATCTTTTATAAAGAATTAAGAACATCTCTTAAATCTGTGACATTTTCAATCTTCATCTGTTTTCTATTCTATTCTGTTTGTCCAATGCTGTCATAATTTGTAATTTTATTTAGGTCTGAAAACTTTAAATCACTGCTGTTTTGATATCTTCACTGTCATTTTGACATCATAGAATCAATATCTTCTGTAATTTACGTATATATTTTGTGTTATTTTTGTGATAAAATTTGGACATGATGTGCCACTGTATCTCAATACACTTAACATACAATACTATAATACACAAACATTTTTTTTCATTACATTGACTCACTTAAATGCATGACAAATGTTATCAGGTATTTAGCAATGATTAAGCATGATTTAGCATCATTCAATGTACAAGGATCACAGTTTCCTGTAACTTTGGTTATTAAACCTTAGTGCTGAATTAGATGATTCATCAACACAGTATTGACGGGAATTACTGTATTAAAGATAAACAGAAAATGTGGAAGTCATAAAAAAAAGTATAATAGAACATATTTATTTGAAATCATGCTGCGGTTTGTATGTTAAAGTGTTGAGTCCTTGAAATATATCATATAATCTGTCAGTAGGGATTGATATTCAATGTCTTATTTTTCATCCAAGTAGTTATTTGATATATGTTAGATCATTATGAGGTTTATGAGTAAGCTTAATTGTCTGTTTGGTGGTATTATCATTAGTGTAAACGTCTTAAAATCTTTTTCTTTTGTAATAAGTTTCTTTCCATGGTGGTCTGTTACAAAGAAATGTTTTTTTTTTTTTTTTAAATTCTGCCCCCGTATGTTTTCAGCCATGTATAAAGTATATTGCTGTATTTCTTGTTGAAATCACATACAATTACCATACAGGATTGAATGAGTTCTTGTATCAATTTAGAATAGATCTGAGGTTTTACTTTTAAAACCTGATTTTTATGATATAATATTTACTTAAACTTGACTTTGTCCCACCTTTTTATTAATTCATTTTTCCAGATGTGATGCTTTCCATAGTTGAATGTAATCCATCTTTTTTTACATTATGTAATACTTACCCTAACTTTAGTGCCCCACTTATTTTTGTCCTCCCCTGTTCTCTATATCCAGTTCTTATCATTTCTTCCTGTGCTTTTGAGTCTGAAGTGAAATAGAATAACTACAAAAAGATAATGTTAATGATGAAATTGACAATCCATTTATACATCTTTTCTGAAAAGTACATAATATTTATTCCTAATGTTTGGTTGTACTTGAAACCATCAAAATATCAGTTTGGATGATTGCCATTCATGATTGAAATTTTTTTAGTAAAATGTGTAGACTTCCTAATCATACATCATTTGATAATTTGATAGTTTGAAATTCTGACTGTTCCTACCAAATAAAGGTTATCCTAATTTGAATTGAAATAACCTTTGTGAGCTTGTCACATTATTAAAATATTCAGATAATCTACCCAGGATTCCATAGAGGCTATGATCATCGACTGATCATTTGAGAAATTGTGAGATCATTGATGATATGGCATGATTCACAGATCTAGTACTAATGTTGAAATAAGTTATATCTGTATTTATTGTTTATTTCAATTGTTCAAATTTCCCTAGTTTCACAAAAATTTTAAAGCAAAAATGGTATATTTTTGACAGAAACCATAAAACAAAATATCATTTTCTGTAACAATTTAGTTTTCAAAGGTATTTTTTTAGCAATTTTCATTTAATCTTTGAATTCAGCAAAACACTGAAAACTTAAGAGACAAGAGTCTTGACAGTATACAGGTGTATTAGTTGTGATATATATGTTGTACAAAAATTGTACAAAAGATGCAAATCAAAGTACCTTTGATGCAGAACAGTCAAATAAGGAGTCCAACTGCATCATACATCTCTTTCATCCTTCTAGGATTTGGCAGTGATGCAAAGGCACTTAATGTTGAAATCGAGGCGGAGAATGAGTAAAACTAAAACTGGTAGAAGAAAATGTCAAAATCTAGATACAGAGATACTCTAGTCACAATCTCTTTCCATTGTAAAGGAGTTAAATACTGGTTGACAATATGCTCAAGAGTGGATCAGTCAGAAATTGTCTTATCAATTACTGGTTTAGTGGTAACTTAGAACTTTTAAGGATCTGTTAGAAATATTTTACATTTTTGTAGTTTGTAAGCTGACATTACTTAAAAGTTAATCCTTATGACATGTGTTCACTTCTTTAAAAGATGGCCTTAAAGAATTCAGATTTAGAAAAAATTTACCAGTTCTTGCAACTGTAAATATTAAATAATTATCTTTTCCAGTTGGTGGTTTTAGAGTTGATTGAAATACTTGATATCTAAAACACAGTCTTTATATAATTCACCTTTTTTAAATTTCTTGATGGATATATTCCAATTCTTATTTACTCAAATTTTTATACTGGAATGCTTAGAAAATTTCCCCAGTTTTCATTTTGCTAGGATCTAGGTCAAGGTCATCAGAGCTATTTATAAATATAGATTTTTGTTACACTGTTCACACAAAGGTTGATTCTGAAAATACTTTCACTTTCAAGATTGTATGGTCAATATTACCATTTATACTTTTAGAAATCTTTTTCCATCTTTTGTCATCACTTTTGTTTTGAATGGATCTCGTTCAAACATCACACAAAGATTGACAAACAGACTTTGACATCCTTGCAACAGCCAGGGTCATATGAAGACAGTGACCAAGTGGAACTTTGAACAAGCTCAGATTTCATGCTGGTAGAATCAGGGTGAAAATGGTCTCTTTAGAGTTATCTTTGTATTCTCTTTGTCATCTTACTGTTGTGAGTGAGAGGGATTTGGTATTACTTTAGACATCTCTTACAAATAACAAATACATTACCTGAAGGGCTGATATACTCACAATGACAAGTTCCAGTAAAGAGGATTTTAGCTTGAGACAAAAGTTCCCATCCCGAATATTGCTTGATTTCTGTAGTAATCAATTTTAGAATACTGAATCTATTCTCTAGATTTTTCCACTTTAAATATGTTGTTTTACCACATTTGAATTAATCTTTTTTCCATGTCTTTTTAGTTACACCATACAAGTTTCCTTGTTTTTTAATAGCTAGTATTATTTCTTGACTTTATTTCCTGAACAGCTTATCTCAACTGTTCACAACCTGTTTAATTTTATACAACTCCATTCTTTCTTGCTCTTCATAATTCTTTTGCACACATTTCACCTTTTTACATGGTTCATATGCTACCTTACACATTATTTTTCGTGATGTTTACTTGTTAGAGTTGTCTACCTTTGATTTCAAAATTGTCAAATGTAATAGATAAACATTACAGTAGATTTATCAGTGAGTATGTTCTTGTACAAATGTACAGGTACATATAACAAATATATCAGTCAATTAAATTTCATACATTAATGATCTATTTGGTTGCTAGAGTAAGGTAGCGTACACCCTTAAGTCAGTCTGATTATTTCCCTTAGCAATTTTACCTTACACTTTTTTGCTCCAACCCTCCTTTCTGATTTCTATCTCTTTATGCTTAGTCTCTTGCTTGTTATCATGAAGATCTGAAGTTTTCTGATGATTTGTTGGAAAAGTAGTATCTTATGTTCTTTTCACAGTGACGGTGCGAGTAAAAACCTGAATACCATCAAATCTCTGAGGGTGCTTCGAGTGCTTCGTCCTCTTAAAACTATCAACAGAGTACCAAAACTTAAGGTACGTATCAAACACACTGACTTAGATAAATGGAGTCTTGAATCGGACAAATCAGTTCACGCCAAGAACTGAAAATGATTGAAATTTATTTCTTGTCAAAGTTTTGCATATGTTTTAAAAAGTATGTATAGAGTGGAATTAATGTGATTTTTTTTCTTTTCTTTTCCCCAGGCGGTATTTGACTGTGTAGTGAATTCCTTGAAGAATGTTTCAAACATCCTCATCGTGTACATGTTGTTCCAGTTCATCTTTGCTGTTATAGCTGTTCAGCTGTTCAAGGGAAAATTCTTCTTCTGTACTGATGAGTCGAAGGAAACTAAGAAAGAATGCCAGTATGTGTTCTAAAAAACATCTCCAGTAACTTCAAGTGAAATGATATCTGATCAATATCATATTTAGGTTTTATCCTAGAAAACAGAAGTCTTTAGTCAGATCTATTGAAATTGAAACCCGTTTACATTTTGTACTTTCCAGAGGCCAATATTTCTCTTATGAGGAAGGAGCTGACTCCCCAGTAGTGAAAGATAGGAAGTGGCAACGGCAGGATTTCCACTACGACAACATAGTGTTTGCCATGCTAACATTGTTTACGGTCACCACTGGAGAGGGCTGGCCTGAGTATGTGATAAAAAGACAAGATTAGATGGTTTCCTCTAGAATGTCACGCATATTTCATGAGTATTACAGAATATTTTCTTTGATACAAGTTTAATTTATCAGATATTGAAACAAAAACTTTTATGATTTGATATGGGGAAAAAAGCTAACAGTTGATTCAAACACAAAACAGACTTGTATGGAAAAATATGTGGGAAATATTTTTGTAGTTTTTGACTTGAGATGATTATGACATTCTGATTGAAGCTAAATATAGTGTTATACCATTTTATGCTAATCTCTGCTAAAAATTACTGACATATCTGTAATCAGGTGTGAAATTTAATGAAAACTTGTAGTTGACTTATAATCAATTTGATAGTAATCAGTTTCATTCAAAATCATCATTACCAACTGAAATAAATGAAAACATAAGACTGAAGAAATATTTTATTTCTGAAAATATTGATTTTGGAAAATGCTGTTTTCTATGTTTCAGCGTGCTCAAGAACTCCATGGACTCGACAGTAGAGGATAGGGGGCCAAAACCTGGATATCGAATGGAGATGGCCATCTTCTATGTGTTTTTCTTTGTTGTCTTTCCATTCTTCTTTGTGAACATATTTGTGGCCTTAATCATTATAACATTCCAAGAGCAGGGAGAAAGTGACCTAGGAGACCAGGATCTGGACAAAAATCAGGTAGTTATCTCCCTTTGTTTGAAATGTTAGTTGTTCTTTTTCACTCTGTGGTTCAAATTTTCATTGTTCTATCAAAAGTTCAAAGCAAAATAGATATTCTTTTTAAGAAAGCCATATAATGGCTTCTAGTTCTTTCTATCAATTTTATTTGCTAGATATCTATTTTTCGCAGTTCTGTTTCATTCACTGAAATAGCAATGCTACAATTTTTTCATCACAAAATAAAAAAGTGCGCAGTAAGATATTTCTGAAATAATTCTTTACATAGGGACAAAAAAGCAATTTCGTAGCATCATGTTTGTTCATGTAATTACTAAAATTGTACTATGTCTATCTCAAGGATGTATATCATGTCGTGATGCCATTTTTCATTTCAGAAACAGTGCATAGACTACGCAATAAATGCACGCCCAACCAGTCGCTATATGCCACAGAAGGGGACGGCCAAGTATCGAGTCTGGCGCCTGGTCGTCTCCCAAAAATTTGAATATTTTGTCATGACATTAATTACACTAAATACGATAGTATTAATGATGAAGGTAAGTGTTAATCTCTATTGAATGGCCATTCTTATACCATGAAATATATTTAAGTATGGTGAAAGTTATATAATTAATATGTTAACGAAGAAAGACTGGATGGTAATGTTAGTTCCATTTTGTTGTTCACATTTCTATTACAAGTATTGTTTATTTGAACCTGTCGGATAGAAATTTATTTTCAAAACATAATCACAAATATAGGTTCATATCTTGATTTCATCATGACTTATTTCTTGAAAAAATTGTCAAATTTGCTTTGTTTCATTTTGTAATTTTGCTTTATCAAATTACATCGGGGAAATGTGTGTCCGGAACAAAAAAGATATGAACTGATTATGATGAAATGACATGCTGGTATTTTGATGGAGATTGAAATGAAAAAGGTTTCAGCTGTATACATAAATTGACCAAATGTATATGGACAGAAAGATATTCATGTCAACAGGACAACAGTCTAGGCAGTTTGAGTTCAGGTGCTTTTATTTGTGATGTATGTTTCAAAATTTGCCTTTTGCAGTACATTTAAATTAGTTACAGATTTTACGAAAAGGAAGATAGTCAGAATGAGATTACAGTTTGAGTAATACAGTGAGTGCTAGGAAATTCTCTTTAGTAGCTAACTGAATGATATGGAAAAAAATTGAGGATTTTTTTTTCTATCACTTCTGGCAGGTTTATCACCTCCAATTCTGTATTGCACCGATTAAAACAAGGTTATATTTTATATTTTGTTGCTATGAAAACGTTTTATTTTGTTACCTTGACAAAATCTTCTCTCCTTACCATCCAGTATAATCTGCAGCCAGAAGACTACAAGAAGATCTTGAAATACCTTAATAGTGGTTTTACGGTTATGTTCACCATAGAGTGTACTCTCAAGCTAATAGGGTTTGGCAGGGTAAGGTCATAGGTCGTAGGTCATGGGGTATTCATTTATTTTGTGTACTTTTCATATCCATCACCAACTTGTAACAAGGGTTTGTTTGAAAATTCATTTAAAGATTTACATATGTTTTTCAATTGATTATCTCTTTGAGATTTGAATTTGGTTTTTTTAATTCTTTTCTTTTTCTTTTTTTTTGTTTAAATTGTTATAAAAGTATGTGCTTTTTCTTGGTGTTTTGATACTGTATTTTGACAGAATGTTTATAAAAAAGAAAATAATAGAAATTTGTTTATCCCAACATTGGATGTCATAAATGACACGTTTTGTATATGAAGAGGAATGAATTTTCATTACCCTGGTATGAATAGAAACGTAGACTTTCACTGAATCTTTGGATCTGGGTATTTCTAGTGTATGATAATCACCAAGTAACTTTTCACCAATGTCAAGGTCACATTGCCTGATAACCGATTTTTCGAAAAAGTGATGTTTATATTTATACTTGTATAAAAATTACAAAGATATGTTGATACATTATCATTTTGTAAATAGATCGTTTACAAAAACTGAAATGTAGCCAGGATAATTTTCATACAAGTATATTTTCAGTCATGCTATTTTGCCTATTATTCACAAAATATAGAATTATGGTTACCATGACATTGGTTGCTAGGTGATGTGGAGACTTGGGCCTGCCTTGTTGCACGATATTAGATCTTATAAAAATGTAGCACAACTTATTGCATTGTCCAAATACATACCTAATACTGAATGATGACTTACAAAAGGAGATGACTTTAGATTGTTTAATCTGATAAAGATATACATGTATGTGCGTAGTATTTCTAATTAAAGTTCTCTCCTTTTGGTTTTCTATTTGAAATCGGCACCCCTCGATGAATATTTGTTTTCTGAATTAAAGCATTTCTTTTCTTAAAATTAACCCTTCTTTTACAAATACATATCCAATAGCAAGCTGATTTCAGATAGAATGATGTGTGATATGGAAGATGGTTTTAATCTCTGCTTGTTTTCTAACCTGCTTAATTTTCAGTTCACTAACCAAAGCCAATTTGATGGTACACAGGGCAACGATGTTGATTTAACAGCGGCTTCAACTCAATACGAAAGGGTTCTAATTTCAATAAATATCGTATTCACGGTTCTATTCACCATCGAGTGTGTCCTCAAGATACTAGCGTTTGGAATAAAGGTTTGCGGAAAACAGTCTGTTAAACTCGTCAACCTCCTTTGTTTTTCAGTCGTTAATTTAATTACTATATGTCACTGACATACACCCTTAACCACAAAACCTGGGTATTCTGTTTTTATACTGCCCGTACTTTCCATATTTGGCTTCGAAAGTACAAAAATCATATCTGCTTCAAAATTAGAATGATTTCCATTCTGTTACCTCCCTTGATCACTAAAGTAATGACATCATTGTTTAGAAAACAGACTACCCGGGGCTGTTATCCACCCATGGGTGTTGTCCCAGTGCGATTTTGTGCAGTGCCGCTGAGTGGATATGCCTTCATCTTTAATTTACGTGTCAGCCATCAGTGTCATACATTCTATATCACCAACTCACAGCCACACATTCATTTCTGTTTTTATATGTGTATATATTTATATAAAGTTCTAATTTGATTGGTTAAATCAGTGGTTGTTTGGTAATTAATTTGGTGGTTTTAAGTTGATTGATATGAAGAAATTTTGTGGAAATAGGATATTCCTCAACAATTATTTATTTGCATGCTCTTATTTAACTTCACCAATACCTATTTCCACCCATGTACCATTTAGACTGTAGAAACTTAGTCCAGCTGATGTAAGATTGCCTCGTTAGTGCTAAACCCCAATAATGTTGTCTCTTTTTATACATATTTGTAGTAGTTACTTTTGATAAATATTTGAATAAAACAAAATATAAAGGATGTCTATTTGACTAAAATCCAGAAACGGAATATGGTTTCCTGTATTAGTTCCAATTCTAAGATACGAGTCCATCTTTCGAAAATATCAGAAATTTGAACTTCTCAAAAATATGATTTATATTCTTTAAACCAATATTGATAATAAATTCAATAATCATTAATATTTTTAAATACAAATTTGTTTTTGTAGTTATAGTTACATCACATTTTTGTCAGCTTTTTCTTTTTTTTTTTTTTAAATTTGCCTGATTCCTTTGCCAGATACACATGTTTGAAATCAGATGAAAATGATCTATCTGTCAGTGAATTGTATGAATTTCTAATTATAAATCGACTGAAGATTTTCACAGAAATTGTGTAATAAGAAAACGATATATTCAATACTTAATCAAAGTTCCTGTAATAAGGTTGGGATCATTACATGTAGTACATAATAGACACTAATATGGTTGTATATACGATGTCCATGAATGATTAACATCACTGCTTTTGTCTCTCCGTAACTGAATGTTGCTTTCTGCTTTAATAGTCCTGTCCATGTTTATGTGTTCAAATAATTTGTAAAAGATGTGAAAGAAATTTATATGACATTTATGTCACAATGTCTGTCCAGTTTCTGTTGGTAGATATCTTTTCTATAATATTGTTTTTCGTATCCTTTTTTTTTACTGTCCAAGCAAAATGATGTTATTTTGCTACTGGTTATGAATTAAGAATTTTATCAAGTCTTTATGGTCTCTGTACTTGAATCCAGAATCTTCAACATCATAAATTGTTACTGTCTTTCGTTTTTTACACAAATTGAACATTCACACTTATTCATAATCAAAAAGTGTTTTTTTTTTCTACACAAAAAACAAAAATTGAATTGTGCTGGAAAAATAAAAAAATTTTACAGTATACGAAGATTTCTATAAAATGTGACATCAATCACTTTGAAAAAAGATCTGATAATAAATGTACAAGACTATATTTGGAGGACGACTTAGAATGAATTATTCACTAATATTAAAGACAGTAAAACAATGTAGAACCCCCCTCTAACTTTTTACCCTGATATAATGTTGATTGACTATCAACTTAATAGCTTTTCATACTTTTTCCTATTACGTATGATTTCAAACTTTGGTTGAGTTGAAGAGCAAACAAAACAGTTTTCATTTTCAAGAGTCAATGTGTGTATCTGAGGTATATATAACTTGTCAAATATTTCTTTACTTTTGGAGAAGTGAAGCTATAGACTCAGTCTTCTTTGAAACATTAAGATAAATCTTTAAAAATTTGGATGAATGATTTTGTACAAAAAGGTTTAATGATTGTGAAATTGAAAATGTAATGATGCTGTTTGTTTGACATTTTTCAGTCAATTAATCAGTTGCATGATTTTGTAAATATTTGTGTGTTTTCCCTGTATTTAAATGACTTATTGTTAATGCTGTTCTTTGTTGGCGTTTTGACTAACGATACCATGTTATTGTTTTATGTAGTGGTGTTGACACATAGATTCATCACATCCATTTTTCTGTGTTCATTACATAGATCTTTCCTAATAAATTGACCACCCATGATAATTGACTCTGATCAATCTATTTGAACCTTTATTGGAAAGTTTATTATTAAGGTTATCTATGGTATTGAGATTCTTCATTTTTATATTAAAAATATTAAAGCTTGTTTATTTTTAAACGATATTCACTTATTTGATATTCTACTCAGGAAATATCAGTGTTCGTGATTTTGACATTCAAACCAAGTGAAAAGCACATCTCAATAAAGAAGTGATATTTCAAGTAAAGAATCCAAAGAATGCATGTATAGCTATACATTCTCTTGCCAACGGTTTTCTTGTGTAGCACAGAAGAACTTCAACATGGAGTAGCATTATAACAGTCAGCCTTTGTTCATGTCATCTTTCTTTCAATGCACATAGCTAGATTATCATTAAATCTTTCAACCTTTTCAACAAAGATAACCTTAATTAAAATCAGGTGTCTTATTACACTTTGTACTGAATACCTCTTTGCTTTATGTAACAAGATACAAAATGAAAAGAGATATGATTTTGGCTAGATGGCAACAAGTAGAAAATGCAGTTGGAAATTTGTTTATCTGAAAGTGTTGTGGAGGCTTTGTGTAACACAGAACTACCATGATATTTGAGTTTCACAACAATACATCAAATCGCAAAGTATTTTCACTATTGTCAGTTTTTAGATACAAAACCAAATACATTAAATTTTCATTATTAGTAAATTACTTTGTAGAAGTGATATTTGCATGAATGAAGTACTTGGGAGTTATATATAGTTGCACAATCTTGCATTTATTTCCTGTTATTGTCATCGTTTTGAAATCCTATATGTCGTCATTTCACCCATTTGGTATTGGTTGATAAATCCATATATGTATATAGATTCGCATTTCATTTGTCTTTTGTTTGAAATTCACTGTTTTATTATAAAGAAAGCATATGATATATATATATCTTATATATTTGCACCATGTGTTTTAAAGATGAAGGCATATCCACTCCAGTTATCCCCCCTTGTTTTCGCTTCAGTGTGGCTGATTATATCCAGTGACGGTTATTTACCAAACGTTACATTTTATTATTATATTATACATGCGCTACATTCCCTCTCAACATGTCCTTAGTTAACCTCGTTTTAGTCAACCGTCTTATTTTGTACATTTCAAGAAGTTTTTGATTTATATGGATTCCGTATTACAGTCATCCTATTATTCTATTGACTATGTACACTTATGTATGATATTGTTAACAATTTAAGCATGCAACTTTATGTTATGATACCATGATGTGCCCCATCAGGTTGGCTGCTGTAGTCTTTTCTTTGCTTTTTGTTCCATCAGAGTTGGGTTACGAATTCCAGGACGCTTTCCAGTAAGATGGTTCGGAACTATCACTGCATTAATTAATATTGAATGATCTACAAATTGGAAATATCTACAAAATGTAAAAAAATATTTGTTAGCATCAAATGTATCTAGAGTTATAAAACAGAAGCAATTTATTTTTGTTTTTCTGAAATTTATGTTTATACACGTAAATTGTTAACTTTCGAAGGAAGGTGTAATTTATTGAAAAAAAAAAAATTTGAAGCTTGAAAGTGCATAGGTGTCATGAAATAAAGACGACATTTCATGACATTAATCTTGCTATTTCTTTGAATATGAAATGAGATAAAGATTTATTTTATTTTCAAAACGTCATTGTGTTTTGAATGGACAATGCATCGATAATGAAGACAATGTAAGCTTACCCTTTAATATCCAGTATGTTAAAATGGATCTGTTTTTAGAACAGTGGTTTTCACCACATGTACAGTAACTGGGTCTATAGTTATGGTAAATGTTTGAGACAACTTGCTATTTTCACAGCTTTTCCTCTGGTTGTTGTCACCTAAATAAATTCTGTTAACCTCCAATACTGTTTTCAGGTCAACATCACAAAAGCAAAGGTGTATGGACGTTGATACTTCTACAGTCGTAGAAAGTTAACATGGACAATGAAACAAGATGAAATTTTCAACTGATTCCATCTCAATTTCAGTTCCATTTTCTGTTTTAACTTTTAAAAATGACTCCACATATCCTTCTCTCTAGGAAACTGAATGATTGAAATTGTTTTAGTATTAGTAGAATGTATATTGCATGTCTTGTGCATGATCATCAAAACCAGTATCTATGTATATATAGGATTAGTCAGTGAAATCTGTAATATATATAAATGTTGTAATTTTACAGGATATCAAAAAAAATTAGGATCAGTAATTAAATAATTCTTTGGAAAGGTTAAGTAGATATTTGGAAATAAGAGTTTGTGATTTTCCTAAAGGTCATGTACTGTTAATAAATATTACACAAAGTAATATGCTTTCTTTTAAAAAAATCGTGATGTCATGAAATATGTTTGAATGTCCAAGTCCATATGGATATCTTTACCAGCTTGATAAGGTTTAATTTAACCTTTCACAAGAGATATGAATAGTGGTCATGCGTATGTCATAGTCTATTTATGCATAACTTACACTCGATAGTTAAAGTCTGGAACACTGGCACGTTATTTTAGAATCTGGACACCTGTATCACCCATATACAATTTTTCACAATGAATAGATACATAAATAAGTAGATATATTATCGATTAGATAATAAATTGTTTATTGTTCATGCACATTTCTATTTATATATAAATGATGAATACCTAAAATGTAGTTACTATTTCCATATATGGTAATATGTTAATTAGTTACAGTACGAGCAACAAAATCCACCAATGACCACAACTTCCATAAATTTGCATAACGTCTAACAGATTGGCCTGCAACTACAATTTTGTTCGCTATGTTTCACGTGTCCTCCAACTCTTCTCGTCTTTTGTGATGCTGACTTGACTGAAAATGACTGTTTCCTCTCACAGTTGTTTTATGTGGTATTTCTATTGAAATGTGTATGATAATTAATTTGATTTGCTATAAATAGATATTTTCAAAAGATCAATGATGTATTAATGATTCTTTAAAAACATTAGATGGTTAAATGCTTTATCATATATCAATACAAACGGCTAGAGAAGCACTTCATCACTACATGTGTATATTGTTTACATTATAACAACTTTGATGATTCTAACAATAGTGATTTTGAAACCTCATAATGTCATTTAAATTTGTAATATTTACTCCATTAGATAAAACAATGCATATTTTATATTTTAATGAGATGTAAGCTAACTTCCACCACTTTTATACAATTATCTACAAAGTTAAATATTACAGTTATATACTCGATGTCTATCATTGATTTATCGTTCATAATATTAATTTGATATACATGTATGTGATAATGATATGAAGTACGAATATCTGTGATGTCCGTGTTTGTAATTGTGTGATTTATCAGAAACCATGTACTGAACTATCTCCTCCAAGTAACTAACTCGGTATTGATTTCATTGTTTGTCAAATTCTACAGAACTACTTTCGAGATCCTTGGAATGTCTTTGACTTTGTGACAGTTATCGGCAGTATCATAGACGTCCTTGTCAGTGAATTTGGGGTAAGTGTCTTCATAAGCATTTTTTTTTTTTTATTAGATAAAATTAAAATATGATACCTAGAACACTAAATGTGAGTGGGTACTTATATGGTGCGACAATTTTAATGTTTTAACATTAAAATCTTTAAAAGAAAAACCCTTTTCACTTACTTTGTAAATGGTAATACATAATTTGTGTATATGGAGGTTTGATTATAACAGGTACCTTACAAATGTATCAGAAAGGAAGTATTTTTTTTTTTGTAATAATCCAAAAATACCAGCAGAATGTGTTGATAAAGAAATCTGAAAAAAATGTACTTTCATTTCATTTTTGGTAGAAATGTCACTTGAGAGATTGTTAATGAAATTTCTGAAAACAGCATAATTTTAAACTTATATACATATCAATGTCATTGATTATTGTGATATGAGAATATTACAAATGTAGCATTTCTGAATGGTATTGTTATTTTAAAACACACTAATGATTTGAAAGTATCATATTCTGTAAGATATGTTCCTTTAAGACATGTCCTATTTGATATATATGTGATGTATAAACAAATGTTCGGATTATAAGATTGATTTGCTTGTGTGTATATTAGTGATATCTAGCTCTGTGGGTACTTACTACTAGTCAGATGGTAGCATCACAGGTACTCTGTAATAATGGACAGTAAGTAGGGGTACACAATAAAACTAGGGCTTTATCTTGTCTATCCAATTTTGATGTGTAGAGTATGATTCTGTACATTTTTTTCACTTGTAATATAACTCTCATGGGCTCCTAGGGTAAACTGTACACAGTATTAACTCTCATGTTCGTGAAATGTTTCTATTCCTACGCCCAGTTTACTACAATAATATAAGCTTACATCCGGGCCAACAAGAGTGATTAGTATAAGTTGACATAACTTGTTTCACAATTGTTGTAAAGTAAATAAAGTTTATATTTTAATATAAACAGTTGATGGTGTCCAGCACTGATTAACAGTAAAAGACACACAAAGAACGTCAACTGAGCTGATTTTATCAAAGTTTGTCATTATAAATTTGTAGTACTAGTAGATCTGACTTGCTTTGAACTATTCATTGAAACCTTTGATACAGATATTAGATTTTGGTCCTTAACCAAATAGTGAATAAAAACATAGGGTATCAGAAAGGGCACAAGGTAAGATGAAAAAAATTGAAGACATGTTGAGTGTTTATTTCGTAAACCAGGGTAATCAAGTGCTATTTTCTGAGTTGGAAGCGATTAACACAGAGGTTAGTAAAGCACATTTAAATACCCGTCAGTAGATACATGTTCAGTAACCGTATAGTAAATCTTGACTGTATAAGCACATTCTACAAATCTACAATAAATCAGAAATATGTATCAAAGTTAAATAAAATAAAGCAATACTTTTAAATGTTTGACAGCGTTCAGTGATCAGTTTTCCTCTTTAGCTACAGAAAAATTGCTGATATAGATGTTTATGTAATAATGTGAAAAGAGTTTTAAAATAAGAAAAAGTAAGCTTTGAGCAAAATTGTAGATTTTTTGAAAATGTGGATTCTGTACAAGTTAACAGTGATTTGAAATAGTGTTTTACCATTCTATATTGGAGGTGATAAAGTCAGAGGTTTGTAAGCACATGATCCTGTCATAATCATTTATTATATAGATCAACAAGCACCTGTTCATAACACAATGTGTTAATACAAAATTAAAAGCACATTTCCTACAAAATTTAGAAAAAAAACCTTTAGTATATATAATCACTTCTTGCTAATATACCCTGATGTTGTAATCTCAAAAGCACTCGTCGTTAAATGTTAACTGGAAGATAGCATAAAAGCACTCGTCATTAAATGTTTACTGGAAGATAGCGTAAAAGCACTCGTTAAATGTTTACTGGAAGATAGCGTAAAAGCACTCGTCGTTAAATGTTTACTGGAAGATAGCGTAAAAGCACTCGTTAAATGTTTACTGGAAGATAGCATAAAAGCACTCGTCATTAAATGTTTACTGGAAGATAGCGTAAAAGCACTCGTTAAATGTTTACTGGAAGATAGCATAAAAGCACTCGTCATTAAATGTTTACTGGAAGATAGCATAAAAGCACTCGTTAAATGTTTACTGGAAGATAGTATAAAGTTTGTGTGATTTACCATAAAAAAAACCCATTAGTGAGGGCACATGTAATAAACTGTTAGCAGCATTTTCCTGTAAAGCACATGTGTGTTAATATCAACATTTAGTAGTAGCATTCTATTAAATGCACTTGTAAATAGATTATTTACGGTAAATAACAAGTGTATTTGATCACCGTAAATTAAAGGCTTAGATGCCTGGTGTATTAATGACTTTCCTATTATTCTGACTTGGAGAATATAATGGCGCAGTTTAACGCCCCAACACCTACTGGCTCTGAAAATGAGGTTTGTTTCCAAGTACTACAATATTAATTCTGTGTAGATCTGGCACCGTGTATCTACCGCAAACCACGTGGCAGCTTTCATCCAGTATTCACTGTTCTCAAGATTTTTTTTGTCAATTTTTCTTGTTAATAACTTCACGTATGTTTTAAGAGTTACGTATTTGGTGGTGCTTACGCTTTTGTACATCTTTCTTGTAATTTTGAACTTTGTGAAAAAAATTGTAAATAAGATTTTTAAAGCTTATTAATGAGTTATTGTATTGAAATTTGAAATGTTTCACTGATTTCGTCATACACAAAATGCACTCGGAACAAACGTGTCATTCACAATTCTTTTGAAAGCAATAATACTAATTATTTATTTTTGTTTATATATAAACCTTATCACATATCTAAAACTCATTAATTTATGAAAATATTTGTATGAAAATGAAGGAATGAACATTTAATGAAATGATAACTGCCAGTTATACTCATTGCATTGGATGGAAGCTACTCACTGATCTAGATCCGTAGATAACTATGGAATGACATTTTTGCTATGTATAGATCCTGTGAGGAGCCCATATGATGATTTATCTATATCCTGTCCGAATCTGGTATATGTTTAGACGGATTCAACATAACAAACTAGTAGATTTACATTTTTGTTGAACTCACATCAAAACAGTATTGCAAACGGTCTCTGTTGTTAAACAGTGGTAATTTTGGTGAATTTGATTTATAACCGCACTCAAACCCGTGTTTTCATTTGAAAATGTGGCATTACTTACTCTGATTTGACCAAGATGAGTCACCCATGAATCAGAATAGTGAACAGTGGTCTTACCTTCCTTGTGCTAATTTCAGGCTCTCTGTGAATATTTTTTCTGTTTGTTTTCTTGGTTTTGAGTTTGAATTTACTTAGTTTTTTGATTAAAGAATAGAGAAAACAATCTTTTTGGTATCAGGACAAGAATATTTTATTTTGAGGCATGATGAAACTGTATCAAAATGAATCTATTGAAAGAAAAAAGATGAAGTTTTCATTTCTAAGTTAATTTATATTTTATTAGATTTGACCCATATTTTTTCAACCAAAATTTTTAAATATTTAACCCAGTCGAAATGCAAGCATCCATGTTCTGATTTTTGCACGTAACTCTTGATAAATTACTTGTAATACCCAGAGATAAAAAACCAATAAGGTTATTAAAACCGGAAGATAAACATCTTCTTTTCTGTGATCATGAATCCGTCTATAGTTATATAGAGATAATATTGGACATTTGAGCTGGTTCGGACAGGATGATTTGTTGATAAGCCCAGCATATTATAAACGTAGTCTTTGCTCTGTACAACTTACAGGTTATACTATATAATATATATATATAATATACCATATACAAACTAATGGAAATGAATGTACTGATACATTCTTTCGACTCTGAAAATCAATGAAATTAATTCAAATACAAAATTGTGGGCTTACAAATCTTGTTGGGCTTTTTACAGGATGATTTATTTCAATAAATGCCAAAATTGACTCAACATGCATTAATTTTGCCTTTCAATCTGAATGTATAAAGTCACATTTTCCTTCATACACTTTGATTTCTATTCACTAGACTGCATGAGTATGATAAGTTCTCTTTTGATTAGGAACTGACATCTTAGTTTCGTATTCTGTTGATTTTATTTGTTTGATCTGATCTATACATAGACATCAAAAAACCATTATCTCTGTGTAAGGAAATCTGGCTTTGTAAATCAGATAGTGGAATTTTAAAATTCTTGAAAACCTTATAATTAGGTTTTATACAATCATTATCATGGTCAAAATAAACGTGCTTTTTGTTATATAGTTTGCGTCAGTTTTGGCAAAGCAGAAGGAAAAAGTGAAAACAAGAAGTAAAACGTGTTTACCAGATAACTGGAGTTTTATAGTTTCGTGCAGGACTATGACATGTTTTTGGCAGACATCTAGCTTTGTATTTTGGATGATTTTGATTACAACGAAAATAACTTATGTTATACATTTATGTTTGGGTGATCTGCCCAACAAACAAAAATATATGGGTATTTCCCACTTAAATTTTGTCAGAACTATGTACAGGTAGGAGACTAGCACTGATTTGCATAAAGCTTATGAACCCTATCCTGCTTTCGCTATCCTGATTTCATTAATTTTCACTGATATGTATTGTAGTTTGACACATACTGTTAGCTGAATGAATACGTCCCTGCGTTATTGTTTACGATCACCTTTTTCATTTCCAGCATTCCTACTTCCAACACCTAATTGATGCATGACATAGACAGTGTTAACTACAAACACACTTAGTTTGTAGATCTTTTTCAAAATTGTGTGTGTTTTTGAAGAAGAGGAACGGCAAACATACTCATTTTGTTACACGGCAACGAGCCACTATAAAAGTACACTGACTTAAAAAAACAAAACAATAATCGGTCAAACAAAGTTCTTTTTTCCAATAGGTAGATCAAATGGATTGTCTGTTGAAATGGTTGTCATTGTGGTACTACTGGTTGAATTCTATAAATGCGGTAGAATTATCAAACATCGTCAAAATAATGTTTATTTTTAATATAATATTTTTTTTCTCCAAAAAATATCACTGTTTTCTTTTTATTGTTGTCAGTAAATTATTTTAACTCAAAAGTAACTGCTGCTGTATGTAACAAAGAAACTTCTTAACTTCAAGTTTTCTATCATATTCCTACTTAAAATCTCAAAAGGTTGTGTGCTGCCTTACCAGAACTTTTCTGAATAATCTTATCACTTTGAAGAAAACCCAGTTCAGAAAATAACTATTTATATTTTTGTTTTATATTTTCTTTTTCTTTTTATCATGGATGTATATTTTTCATGTTTTCCATCTTTCAAGTTTGGGAGACATAGATTAAATAGCTGTAAGGTTTTAAGTCACAAATTGTATCTTGAAGATGTGTTTTGCCGAAGTCCATCTTTCCCAAAAAACACATATAGCAGTTGCCTTAGCTTTCTTTGTGACAAAATTATTTTTCTCATTTCTTGGCATGATGCATTTAATAATTACATTTGTATCTAGACATTTTTTCCCATACAACGCATCTAGTTTAAACATTTAGCTTTGCAAGAAACTAGGCCATTTTTCCTTTATTCGATGTTTGAATTTCCACCTTTAGATGTACATATTTAATATTTGAACTTAACTTTTTACTTTCTTATTGTTTATAAAAGAACTATTGAAAAAAAATTTGAATATATTGGGAATTAACTTGTCGAAGCATCCCTTATATGTGTGTATAAGTACTGCAAGAATGTTATGGTTGACCGCATATATAACATTAAATGTCATCATTATGACAATGTGTTATTAATACATATTCAAATTGTAGTTAACCCTCAATATTCTTGCTGTGAATACAACATATCTGTTCCTTTGTTTATCACCACATCCTTCATCAGTTGACATCATTTTCATCATTTTTACTGCATTTTGATGTTTATATAAATTAAAGTCACGTTGCCTTCAATCTTATTACAAACTCATAACAAAACCTTCGCGAACTTCATATTCCATTTTCAAATCATTTTATTTTAAACTGAATATATCAACTGAAATAGGGGGAAGGGGGATGTTATTATTCACAACAATATTCTGACATTGCCTGAAATGTTTGTTGTGGTTTTGTTTTGTAGTTGTAATAAAGATAAGGCCATTCACATGAATTAAATTATAATCTGTTTGTTTTAAGATTTGTTAAATATTTGTTGATGTCATGTCTGGTACATACTTTAACATGTATCCGTTCGTTGTCGTATGTACCAAAATAAAAACTGGATACTGAAAAATACAGCCATAACTCATTTTCTTTTTCAAGAGCTATGTAAACAAACAAAAGAAAGAAAAAACAAAGAAAAAACAGATTTGAAGATTTCGTTTTGCCCTCTGTCAAAAAATAACTTTTGCCCGTCAAAGTGTTAAATGTTTAAAGAGAATCTGAGCATAATTTTAGGGATGAGTTTAAAAAGTTGTCCAGTTTTTATGCCTGTGTTTTTATTCCCGTGCGATATATATGTGTTCCGTGCCGTTGTATCCCTGGCTATGTTCACAGATGATGCTGTATCGAATTTGAAGGATCATACCATTGTCACACATCATTATTAAATATTCTTGTGGAGTTGATACACAAAGAAATTTTTTCAGAGTAACCAAATGAAAATGTGAAAATTGTTTTTTTTTTATATATGCAGTAAGATTTCTTTTCCAATGAAATCATTATGCTAATTGCATTTGCAAGTTAAATCATCTGCGACACATCTATGTTTATGCATATGATAGTGCTGATGTCTGTTTCAATCTGTATTAACCAAAGACTGTATACTTTTATGTGTTATAACATTGTACTCCTGCTTTACCTTTGAATAAGTATATTCCTTTCATTTCTCTCCCCGGCTTTTGTTAACTTCCTCTCTCTGTTTCTTAGCCCTCTTCAAACATAACAAGGCTTTGTTTCCCACGTTCAGAATGTTCTGATATCCATCAAAACAAAAGTAAAGAAAAGATGAGAAAATAATGTTGTTATTTTGAATTGAAAAGAAAAAACAACATTTTATTGAATATTTTCTCTGATGGACCTGGAGTAATACCAAGTGTAAGATCCATTTTAATTGTAAAACTTTCAAATTTCAGCAAAACTTTCATATAATACTACGTGATGTTGTGTAAACATATGTCGTTTTTGGCAAAACTTTCCCCAAAATATATTTACAATATGACAACTATGTTCTAACAATACCTTTCGTCCATGTTTATCAGTCTATATTTTCCACATATATTTCTCGCATTGTCAATATGATATACCCACTAAGATCATCTTCTGACTTTATTTCAACCCGCTTATTACCAACTTATTCGCTTGCCGCTACATCTTCCCTCAATAGGTACTGGTCTCTTGCAACTGTCCATTCTTAATAATCTTAAATGAAATCCATAGCTGTCATTTAATGATTGGACCATTTCATTTACAGTGATGTTTGCATCAACACTGATTTTTGATAATATTTAGTTGAAACTAGAAAACTTGAACAAACAACTGTTTTGATGAAATTGACATTGAAAAAGGAACTTTTGTCTTTACTGATGAACATTCCTTTCTCAGTTGAAATCTTAAATGTGATGCAAGCATTATTCATAAAATGCAATTTTCTTTCAGTTTTCATGAAGCGGTCAAACAACTAATCCAATGTTGATTTCGAGTTATGAAGAAATATGTGATGAATATAGTATTGATTTAAGACTGTCCCTTTTCAAGTAATATACTCTCTGTGATTACATAATCTTGTTTAAAGTAATGGTGTTTATTTCCTGTCAGGATCATCAATCATTTCACAATCTTTGATTTCATGGACATTCACATATATACAAATATCTAAAAAATTGGGCAGTACATCAATCACTATTTTATTCAAAACTGATCAACAACGTTCAACTTTGATGAAAAACTTTGATTGAAAATGAATGTTGGTATGATTGAACATTTATTCTGTTTTGAATATAAAGTGATTGGTAACCCAGAGTGATCAGTATTTTCGAAAGGGTTGTAGAATATGCAGTACATTTTATTAAAGCGTTTCGTTTATTTTTGTTCTAGGAGTCGTATGTAGGATTCAACGTGGGAGTTTTCAGGCTGTTCCGAGCGGCCCGGTTGATCAAGTTACTGAGACAAGGATATACTATTCGTCTCCTCTTGTGGACTTTTCTTCAGTCTTTCAAGGTAACTAGCCAGTTTCCAGCTCATTCACTGAGTTGTGCCTTGCTTTTTCATATGTGGATTTACCAAGATTTAAATAGGGGGTGCCCTCGATGAAGTAGAAGAAGCCTTCTCTTCCAGAACATCTGGTCTTATTCTCTTTGTACATTTCCAGGAGTCTCCATGTAAATATTTCATTTGTTCATATTTTGCTTTAATTGTATTGAATTTGAGCTTGGATTATGATAATGTTGACATGTTGGTATTTTTGTTGCTGTTTTTCATGATGTAATTTTTGGCAAAGTTTTATGTGTTTTTGTAATTGTTATATTATCATGGTTTTCCTGTGATGTTTTAATGATAAAAGTCATCTTATATAATGACATTATTCAGTTCAATTATTTATTTCTTCTATTGTGAAGCATGCATGGACAGTGATTCAAAATATGAACTAGAACATGCTAAATATAAAAAGTTTAACTGATTACTGATTACTGAAATTATACCAGGCCAAAACAATATCACATTAAGAATAAAGGCAGGTAGGGTGATATTTAAAATGAATGAAAATGAATGGTTTTTTGCTTGAAATGTTGGAGCAAATATGGCACTGTTACAGTTAATTTTTGAAGATTGGGTATGAAGTTGTTGGCCAATCAGCTGACATTGAGGACAAATCAGCCAATAAAAATCCTCTAAAAACAATGAAGTCTGTATCAGAAAATGGGGCACTTAAACAGGGATAAATTACCCTTAAATCTATGAAATATAACTGAAAATTGTGTTGCAGCAAAACATCAGTTATGTCCATTGGTTGTATTTAATGGGACCTACTAGTATATAATGATGCACTTTGAAACTGTGTTGATTTTAGTGTAACAGTGTTGATTTTAGTGTAACAGTGTTGATTTTAGTTTTTAACAGTGTTGATTTTAGTGTAACAGTGTTGATTTTAGTGTAACAGTGTTGATTTTAGTGTAACAGTGTTGATTTTAGTGTAACAGTGTTGATTTTAGTGTAACAGTATTGATTTTAGTGTAACAGCGTTGATTTTAGTGTAACAGGGTTGATTTTAGTGTAACAGTGTTGATTATAGTGTAACAGTGTTGATTTTAGTGTAACAGCGTTGATTTTGGTGTAACAGTGTTGGTTTTGGTGTAACAGCGTTGGTTTTAGTGTAACAGTGTTGGTTTTAGTGTAACAGTGTTGGTTGTAGTGTAACAGTGTTGATTTTAGTGTAACAGTGTTGATTTTCGTGTAACAGTGTTGATTTTAGTGTAACAGGGTTGATTTTAGTGTAACAGTGTTGATTATAGTTTAACAGTGTTGATTTGAGTGTAACAGTGTTGATTATAGTTTAACAGCGTTGTTTAACAGTTGATTTTAGTGTAACAGTGTTGATTTTAGTGTAACAGCGTTGATTTTAGTGTAACAGTTGATTTTAGTGTAACAGCATTGATTTTAGTGTAACAGTGTTGATTTTAGTGTAACAGGGTTGATTTTAGTGTAACAGCATTGATTTTAGTGTAACAGTGTTGGTTTTAGTGTAACAGTGTTGGTTTTAGTGTAACAGTGTTGGTTGTAGTGTAACAGTGTTGATTTTAGTGTAACAGTGTTGATTTTAGTGTAACAGTGTTGATTTTAGTGTAACAGTGTTGATTTTAGTGTAACAGTGTTGATTTTAGTGTAACAGTGTTGATTATAGTTTAACAGTGTTGATTTTAGTGTAACAGCGTTGATTATAGTGTAACAGTGTTGATTATAGTTTAACAGCGTTGTGTAACAGTGTTGGTTGTAGTGTAACAGTGTTGATTTTAGTGTAACAGCATTGATTTTAGTGTAACAGCGTTGATTTTAGTGTAACAGCGTTGATTTTAGTGTAACAGTGTTGATTATAGTGTAACAGTGTTGATTTTAGTGTAACAGTGTTGATTTTGGTGTAACAGTGTTGGTTTTGGTGTAACAGTGTTGATTTTAGTGTAACAGTGTTGGTTTTAGTGTAACAGCGTTGATTTGAGTGTAACAGCGTTGATTTTAGTGTAACAGTGTTGATTTTCGTGTAACAGGGTTGATTTTAGTGTAACAGTGTTGATTTTAGTTTAACAGCGTTGATTTTCGTGTAACAGTGTTGATTTTAGTTTAACAGTGTTGATTTCCGGGTAACAGGGTTGATTTTAGTGTAACTATTGATTTTAGTGTAACAGTGTTGGTTTTAGTTTAACAGCGTTGATTTTCGTGTAACAGTGTTGATTTTTGTGTTATACCGTTTATTTTAGTGTAACAGCGTTGGTGCTTTTTTTTCCATTTCAGGCATTGCCTTATGTTTGTCTTCTCATCCTGATGCTGTTCTTTATTTATGCCATAATAGGAATGCAGGTAAGTAATAGATAATGTGTTTAGATTTCACCAATGTTAATGTCCCAATAAACAAATGGCGAACGTCCTTGAGGTAAAGCTTTCATGGAACATTTTAATCTGTACCCCAAAATCTTGAACTCATTTTATCAATACAGCATTCTTACGTCATACAATTGAGAAAAAAAAAATTGTTGCTGATTTAGAAACTACTACAATACTAAAAATTATTCTATAAGGACAGTGAATACATTAGACATTTAACACTACTCTGTTTGAAGATTGTGTATGTATGATACCTTAGATATGTCAACTTGTATGTACTTTAGTATTGCCTAAAAATCCTGTTACTTACCAATCTTTTAAGTAATTAATTAATCATAAGATTATATCATTAAAAGTCCTCTCCAGGTATAAGATATAATCCTAACTACTGAAGTGAGGATATAAACAAGTTCATACATACCAGGGTTTAATCAAACAAGGACTTACATCATTATCATTTGTTTTTGTCCTTTCAGGTGTTTGGTAACATCAAGTTAGATTCCAAGACGTCTATTACCAGACATAATAATTTCCGTAATTTTGCTCAAGGCCTCATGTTATTGTTCAGGTAAATTCTGTCATTTCCAGTCCTGCTTTTTTCAGTATTTTGATGGGCCATGTTTAAACATGCAATCCATGGTGTTCAAAGTATTGGCTGTGACCTATTATTTTCAATACCTGTGAAAGACTATGATAGAATGGATGTTTTTGAATGTGAAATTGGACCACATATACTTTACATCAACATGCTTGAAAACCAATTGAAAGCTTGTAAGCATGGCTTGATTGATTATGACAAAGTATAAAATACTGACAAGTATACAGTCAGTGCTGGATGTTACGCAAAGCCATTCAAATAGTGAAGAAATGAAAATACGCTAAGTGAAGCTGAAAGTATTTGATAATTATTTAAACTGTTTTGTGCTTTCCCTGTAACATACTCGGAATACTGATACAAATTTACTTAACTTTCTTTTCTGTTTTAGGTGTGCCACTGGAGAAAGTTGGCAGCAAATAATGCTATCATGTTTGAGTGGTAAAACATGTGATCCGGAGTCGGGCAATAAAAAGAAAACATGTGGCCTGGACTTTGCATACATCTACTTCGTATCATTCATTTTCTTTTGTTCTTTTCTTGTGAGTAAAAAAGTTATTGTTGAATCTTTCTTGTTTTTACACCAACTGCATTTGCAAATAACAGCAAAAACAGCATGTAGGAAATATCAACTTGGTAAAACAAAAGTGATTCTCAATTTGAAGTTTAACGGTTAACATTCAGATGATGACTTAATTTTTATATCTAAGTGTTTTAACATTATCCAGGAAATTTACCTGTCAAGACTTTCCTTTGCTATGAGATATATATGCTGAAAAGTTTTGAAAAATGAAATCCATTTTCCAACGAACTTTGCAGCAGAGATATTCATCCTTTGTAACTACTGATATACAGACAAAAATCTTAAGTAAGATTTCATACATTGTTTTAAGATAACAAATTTTGGTTGATAATTTCATCACAATCACTGTTGATTTCCCCATTCACAGATGTTGAATTTGTTTGTTGCTGTCATCATGGACAACTTTGACTATCTGACAAGAGATAGTTCTATATTAGGGCCACATCATTTGGATGAGTATTCGCGGGTGTGGGCGGATTATGATCCCGCAGCCACGTATGTATCACTTACAATATACACTTCTGTTTTTTTTCTCAGTTACATGTTAAAAAATTGATGACTGAATCAATTGCATACATTTTATTTTTAAATATATCACAATTTTTTGTGGTTTTATTTGAAGTTTTACAATTATGTTTGCACCAAAAAACGACTCACTTTTAAATAGTGAGTAAATTAATACTTGAAAACCTTTGAAAATTTCACAACGAATTTGTCTCTCAGGATGCTGAAAATCTTGTGTATGTGATAAAAATGACATTTTGAAATACATACGTCGGTGTTTTCCCTACATGGTTTAAACAATGATAAAGTTAATTAACTTTTTCATAATTTTGTTACATTTAAACCACCAAAATTTTTAACACAGCGAACATTTCGTGTTTTTCAAGAGTTGTAAACTGTTTCTTATAAACTTGGAATCCCTGCTTTGTTGTTCTTACCTTCTGAATCAACCAAATCAAGGATGAATCAACTGAAAACGCTGAACAACTGGAACTGAAGATTGAAAAGTGAACATCCTCTACATAACGATTATGCCACAAATGATACTAGTGTAAAAACTGATATGATTTCCATTGAACAGAGTTTTTAACAGATTCTGGTACCAAATAGCTGGTGGTTTTCACGACTCTCAGTTAATTAATGATACTTTAAGGAACAAAAATTTGGTGATTTGGACATGAAAGGGCATCTTACACCTGCCTCATTATTTCATGGATTATGTCATTGTACTGCGAATTAGCGTAGATACTGTCTCGTAAAAATAACCAGCTATACGGTATGTTGTATAAAGAAAATCATATGAGAGTTATATTCCATTTCATATGTGGCATAATTGGTAGTGCATCTATCAATGTTTTCCTTGTTTCAACAGAGGTAGAATACACTATACGGACATGTATGAGATGTTGAAGAACATGGAACCGCCAGTCGGGTTCGGTAAAAAATGTCCAAACAAGTTTGCATATCGGAAGCTCATACGAATGAATATGCCAGTTGCCCAGGACGGAAAAGTCAATTTTACGACGACATTATTTGCCCTAATAAGGGAATCTCTTGGGATAAAAATGGCTCCAGGTAAACGGCAATAGGAAACACAGATAAAAACTATACGATTGTCATAATAAAGAGAAAAAAAAGTCTCTAATCCAACAATATGTCAGGAGAATTCCAACCATCTTCATGTCACTTGAAGCAAAATCTTCAGTGATCATTAGGAAATTTTCGTTCTCCTTACAATTGCAAAAAAAAAAAAGATGAGCTTTGTCATCTTGGTCAAATTAAGTGCAATTTTAAAAATCATCTCCTTTTAATCTCAGATATTCCTGAATCAAGAACATGGGTGGATAAAGGGGTCAAAATATTTTATTTCGGTTTAAGAAAACACTGAAATGCTAAAATAAAATTTTCATTTGTAAAAAATTACTAAAATACATCAATAAAATTAACTTAAGTCAGTATTTTGACATATTATTTAGTTAGGGAGTCAAATCACAGGTTTTGTTAATTGATGAAACTTAAGTTTCTAATATCATAAATGTAAAATGTCATCCTTGGGACAGAAAAAATAACATTTTTCACTTTAGAGTGTCATTTTGGGTACCTGTGGTAATTTATTTTTAAATGTGAATACATATGGAAGATTTTAACTCTTGATAAAGTTCTGGTATTAGGATTCTACAAACGACAGAAAAGAAAGGCACCTTTCAATTCTGTGTCTGTTATTGAATACTCCACTTATGGATAGTAGGAATGATTTTGTATTTTGGTTTTTGAATTTGTGTTGTTCACTTTTGCATAATTATTTAAAGATAACAACAGTTGAAGGCAACTGAGCACTGTTTTATTTGCACACCTGTTGCACTGTGATTTTTCAGTGGAGGAAATGGACAAGAAGGACGAAGAGATGCGAGACATTATACGAAGGTTATGGCCAGTCCAAGCTCGTAAAATGGTCAATCGCCTCGTGCCGAGCAACAATGGTATGTGTACCTATCACTTGATATCCTACATAATTGAGAATGCTGATAGTTTAGTGTGGGCAGGAAGATGACAATTTGTGCTTTATATGTACTGTGTATTGTACAAAAGGCAAATGAATGGCATCACTCATTATAAATTTAGGTTTAGATATGTACCAAATCATGATTAAAACTGCCAAGTAAGAAGCCAAAAGTGTGAGATTCAAGCATTGAAGTTGTGAGTCACACTTATTATATGTTTAAATATGTAACATAACTTCATATCTCAATCAGTGTAAATCAGGGTAAATTTTGGATGAGAGATAATTTAAATCAATGACATGTATATTTGTGTGTTCTGAAGCGCACACACTGTTTATGAAGTTATAGAAAAACAATAAGTGTATATAGACTTTGTGTGTACAAACGTGTCATGAAAAATACTACCAGCGGTTCTACCAATGTACAGATATTTCTGTTGACAAACAGACCTTATAGTGAAAAGGAGAATTAATGTTTATGGGGTTTAAAATCACTTCTAAGGAATGGGTTTGGTACCTTGTTTTTTCTCTGTCCAAAAGTCTGAAATGATTAACGTAACAAAACTAATAGATTGTTTAATGTGTCACTTTTATGAAATACAGAATAAGGATCCTGTGAAACATCACTATTTTATTTTCCTGTCTTTCTACAGAACTAACCTATGGAAAGCTAACAGTGGGGAAAATATACGTAGGCCTTTTGATACTAGATAATTGGAGGGCCTACAAAGCGAGCCAGACCAAATTTAACAATATGAAATTGGTAAGTAGGAATATATATCTACTTTGGTATTTTTTACTTTATTACCTAATTATTAAAGTAAATCCTGGTTTTGAGGTGGTTGGTATTTTGTTTATCAGCCAGTTCCATGTTCTTTGTGGGAATATCTAAGATAAATTGACCAGGTGTACTTACATTTATCTTGATGGAGAACCTAAGTATGGAGGTCATTGGTATTAAGGATGTTGGAGGTAAATTTGGAATGTTTGTGATAATTTTATTTATATTGTTAAGGTAATATAAAACCAAAGTTTATGTAATTCAGTTTTATGACTGATTCCCCGTGACAGATTTGGGAAAACAGTGTTCAAAGCAGAATTGAACTTGAATGTGAAAATATTCAATTATAAATGGAAACTATCACGACTTATTTTAAGGTGTCTTTCTCCTCCTATATCATTGATGACATCGTGATCTTGATTCTATTTGTCACAGACGTTATCTTTACAGTCTTTACACAATGATCTACATTAGATTTATTTTCTGCGTACATTTTATTGGAGTAGAATGGGATAGTGTGAGAAAATGTAACAATGTTTATTTTGTATCAGTTCAACAGAAGAGTAATCAAATAGTTTCCAGCATGATTATTCAACTGCTGGATCTAAAATGTGTGCTTCAAAATTTCTAAAACCTAAGAAGTTAGAGCTAATCCACTTGAGTGTATTTGTGAAATCCTCAAGTTTACGAAACCCCTAAAGACCACACACTGTTACACCTATCATACAATGCAACATATATTTTATGTATCAGTCAATGGGAAAACGCTATTTCTTCTGTACCCAGGCCGACTTTTTGAGATTTGAATGTGACTTGCCTAGAAGTCGAATGAATATGATACTGTTTTGAAAAAAGGGTCTGATTTTTCTAGGCGATCATATCGAGATTGAAGTGAAATGTTTCTAGATCACTATCTAGATATTTTGGAGTGATCACTTTGTTGAAGTTTGAGTTTGACATTTATGTGCTTGCAGGAGGATAGTAAGGAAGAGGTTAGTACCAGTCGTCTCCGGCGAAGTCTTCGCTGTGGCAACCACACAGCCAAACTTGACCCAAAAACTGCTGAAACTACTTGCTAATGACTGCACTCTTTTACACCTGTCTAGCATGACTTCACTGCACACATGGTTTTGAGTAGCCCCCTTTCGTACTATTAACACAGGGAGTTACTTACGTGCATATCAATATAATATATACAATATAAAAGGATTTTCGATGAAAAAAAATTAGAATATTAGCAAACATTTCCGCTTTTGTTTGCCAAGTTTCACTAAGTCAACACTTGCCAGCTCTATCAGTTTTCATAAAACTATAAGATTAAAAACTATTGCATATTACAATACTTTGACTTCATTGAAAGACTACTGCTCGTATGATATATTTCAATGTGTAACTATTCCTATTGGTCCCTAGTCACAATCTCTGATGCCCATATTGATATGCATGTTATTAATTTGTATCATACTCATCAGTGCTACTTTCCTTCAATCTCTGTTCGTTCATTGCTATATTCCACATTGTTGTTAGCGATCTTTTGAACAAATTAGACAACTTTTAACACTGTGAAGCAGAAAAAGAAAAAAAATCTGTAAAGCACAATTTTTACGATGTGAAAAATGTGAAGTCTTATTCCACAACACCTAATATGTCTAATTGGTTCATACGCAGTCCAATCAGTTTTGTTGTGGCAATATCTTTTTAAGACTTACCTATATGATCGTAGACTCAAACATGTCATGCTAGATATTTCATATATGTTCTTAAAATTAATAAGCAATCCCAACAGGTCTTAATATCTATTCAAAGAATGACCAAAACAATTCATAACATATATTTGTTATTTGCAAAAAATGACAATTACTTTAATAATAGGACATTTGTAATATGTACAGTCATCCATTCATATACTTGTTGATATGAAAATGTATTACATATTACAACATTGATATTGATATATAGGCCTATCAGTAGTTTTAGACCGATAGCAATCGTTCTGAAAGTGAAGTTAGCCTCAATCATTCCTATTTAGTATTTTAAATATAGTAACGGGAATATCCTATTAGGCGTTTCCTAGTCTTCTTGGTCATCGATCTAGATTGTCCTCAACTTTGATATACTATACATAAATGGGACCAGTCTCTCAATGATTCAATATGTTTATGCTACAATCATTCCTTCGACGATATACATTTTGATGTTTTAACAAGGCATTAGCTTGTTGTCTCTCCGTACGAGAATTTCATTAGCATGCGATGGTCTTTCATGTCCTGAAATATTATTTTGCTTCTTTTTAATGTTACGTAATTGTTGTTTAATGCTCTTTATCTTCTGTGTCCGCCTTAAATCTGTGGGCTGAAAATGACTAAAATCAGAAATTTTAATTCAAAAGTGGAAATATTTAAGTAAGATGATGTGACAACTTTTTGAAACTTTATTCAGTCCACAGGTTTTTTTTTTTTTTGTATAAGGGAAATTTTCCAGTGCTCAATGTTTCTAGTTGCAATCCAACATCAGTAACTATTGATTTACAAAATATAAACTGTGCAATTGAAAGAGTATATTTGAATCAAAAGTACAAAAATTCTATAATTATTTTGTAAGTTACAGAATGTTGAACAAGAATGGTGAAATTTCCAAGTACCTATTTTCTGTACTGTATCTACAGAGAGTTTTTCTCCTCTTAATGTCTTCTTCTCTCTTTCTCTCTCTATCTCTAGCGAAGATCTTTTCCCGATAGTTCTTTCTTGTTTGTTTCTCTTAACTCATAATTTGAATTTCTTATCATTCCCTTTGAAACATCCACTCATCAACTGTTATCAGTAGATTTTAACTCGGTGTGGATGTTTGGGTTGTAACTTTCAGAGTGCACTTAACCAATCTACATTTGGTGTGGGTGATTTACGAATGCTTACTCTAACATTACATAGTGACATGCTGATCGACCAATATATATTGCATAAAATGGTTTTGACATGGGGTTGGAATGTTAACTTTTCGCTCACTAATGATTAAAAACACTAACAACGGGTCAAAGTTTACGGCTAATTGTCGCGCCGCCGAGACAATTCAACTGGACCAATGAAAACAAATGGAAGGTATCTATTTTTAATTTGCGTCATTTTAATTGTTTTATTGACCTCCATGCATTTTATTCTTTCACGTGGGGTAACATAATATTTAAACTTTTATGCATTACAAGGACTTGACACGCATGGGGTTAATGTTTTTAATTCTTCATACTTATAATCAATTTTAAAAAGTTAAAACAAACAAAAGGATCAACAAGTACGGTTTTTTTTATGTTTTTATGATTTTCATTTAATTGATTCCAAATACACTTTGACTGTAGATCAAAAACCATGTTATTTCTTAAAAATATTAGACTAGGATTTGAAATTTCTTTCATGAAAAATGGCTTTCTTTATTTGTAGGATTTTATTTGACAAAATCCTGTTCTATTTGAATAGATTTGAATATTTCAGTTGTACACAAAATTTAATTTTGATGAGGCTATGTAGGACACAACATTTTTGACACATCCTGAAAAAACTATAAGTGATAGACAATTACTATGCGCAAATGTGAGAAAACTTGATGATGAATGTCCAAGGAAAAATATAGGAGGTAGTTACAATGCTTATTGATCAATAAATAAAATCAGCACCAATTTGAAATCACGACACGCGGGAAAGTAGACGCAGATCGAGGCCTATCTCTGTTCTCCTTCCTCTTTTGTCATTTCCTGTGGCTGTCTCCGCATCTTTGTGCTTCTTGGTGGAGTAATGTACCCCAGACGTTGTGTACCGGAATTAGTCACTATACGGCGACCTACGGTATCTGTATCTGCTTCTTTCATTATTATCAGTAGCTAGACCAAGCCCGCGCCTCACACTCTCCGTTAATGTATGTCCCTCGTTTTCCAGCGTCACCCGTGCTTTTTCCAGAGACTGATGGGGGTGCTGAGGACGCCGTCCGCTCGCTCAAGCCAGAGTCTAGACCAGGACACAGACCATTCAGGAGATGATGACATGGACGGAGGTCACAGGTAATTACAGGGGTCTGAGGTCAAGGTTCATTGATGTTGGCCGACTCATCAGGTGTGGTCTTGACTGCAGCAAAGGGGTTACTACTACTGCTACTACTACTGCTACTACTTCAACTACAGCTAAATGTGATCTCAGGTGACATAATTACTGTGCTTTAATTTCCTCAGTTTGGTGTTCAAAGAAATTAAACATTTAAGTTGACAAGCCTATAAGAAACGTTTCTTGCTTTTTTTGCACTGTTACGATTTTGATAATATCGTCCAATTGTTTGGTATTACCCGGGGGGTATTTCTAAAATTACGGAATTTGATTATAAAACTGTTATATCCAGTCAAACCAATTGGCTTGTCACAAGTAATTCATTAAATTTTCTAACAAATTTATATCTTTATGTAAAATTATTTTCTTGGAAAATGAATAAACAAGCACAAATATTACTGTAGTGCTTCTGAACCAAACTGAAATTAATGTACATTTATTTTAGTCCTAGCATGCTGTAGTTCCAGTAGATCACAAATTTTGAGATTTTTCATAATTCTTTTTCTTCATAAAAATATGGTTATATTACACTGCATGACAGCCCCACATACATTCAATCTAAAAGTGCTTACACTCGTAAGGCACTCAGCTCAACAAAGAGAATCAGAATGTGACATTTTACGTCTTTACGTTTTAAATAAATCCACACTCCGTATAGCCCCAGTATTTGGATATTCTAGACCTATCCCTGAGTTTAACACATTTCCCAGGCATGACCCTGTGACCATCACTTTATTCACTTTCTTTTTTCAAAATCATCTATTTGTTTCTAAGAAGCAATATTAATTTTAAATATGCATTGCTGGAGAAAATAATCTGGTATATTTCTGTGTGTAGAGTGATTGAAATTGAAGGTTGGTTGCAGAATAGTGCTGCTCTCTTTATTCGTCTTTCTACTTAGATGTCGAGCTGTCTCAGAAAATTGCATTTACCTCATACTAAAAATAAACGAATAAATGTATTTTAAAAGGAAAATATTTTAGCACCCTTTTCCTTTTTATACATTAATGATATGTTTGTAATGTCTACGTCAATAAATTTGCTTTACAAACGATAAGCAATATAAAAAAATATCGTTGATCTTATACAATACACAACACACTGACAACAATTTTTTTTTATTTATTTCACACATTCAAAATTGAATAGATTTTTAGTGTATTTAATATTGATGATCACTAATACATTCTTCTCTCTACCTTTCCATCTTCATGCATGACTAAATCTTTTTTCTATTCTTCCTTTTTTTTCTATCTCTTTATCTCATCAAATTCTTCCAGATTTCTGTCTTTCCTTCAGCGTATATAAACACAGAACTTTTTTCAATAACAGTAGGATTTTTGTTAAGTGTTAGAATACATTAGTTTATTTTCTATAAAAGGCAAGAATAGTAAAAACAAAATATTTAAAACATGCAATACATTGTATTTTAACATCATTAAAAATTCCATTTCACAACGAACTGGTTTGTATTTTTGAATGAATATTATGCACTCTATGGTACCTGGTAATGTATGTTTGCTGTCATTTGGATAGATATCGGGGATGTTATCGGAGATTCTGACCTCTCATGACTTTATCTGTTAGTTATTGATAGGTCAAGGTTCTTCTGTAGGAGTTCAAATACAGTATTTTATGTATC